TCACCCCTCGTTACTGACGAGGACCACTAATGAAAATGGATGAACATTATGACGATGGCAACACTCTCTAGACTGTGTAATATCACCATATATGGTGATACTGCACTGCACATACAGTGTTGCCTCAAGGTGACAAACCCATATTTGGCTGTTTACACGCATAAATTAAATCCTCAGTTATGATGCATACTTTGAGAAAGAGCCAAGGACCTGAGGAAACGACTGTTTTATAGTCACATGACTCTCTGAAGGCCATGTTGAATCCCTTTTTGCAGCATTCATGAAAACATGAATGCTTTACACACATCTCCTCCCGGCAGCACAGAAGATTTATACACTCAGTACAGCTTCAAGGTGGACACCCAAGATTAGTGTCATCAATTCCGTATTTGACCAAATGAGTAATGGCCAGAAAGGTGTTTTTGAAGAACATTATAATGTTACAGTGAAGCTGACCTTTGACTTTTTGGATATAAAATGTCATCACTTTATTATTCTTATATGATTTTGGACATTTGTGTGAAATTTTGTCATAATTAGTGTATGAATTTTTTGGTTATGGCCAAAAACATGTTTTGTGGAGTCACAGTGACCTTGACCTTTGACCGCCAAATTCTAATCAGTTCATTTGTTTGCGCCAAATTTGGTGAAACTCCCTCAAGGCTTGCTTGAGATATTGCGTTCACCAAAGTAAGACGTACACAAGGTCACGGGGACCTTGACGTTTGACCATCAAGTTCTAGTAGGTTCATCTGTGACTTAAAGCTATAGTTGGTAATGTTGGAGAGCTAGCAAGATTTGAAAGCAGCACCTCCTCTAAGCTCCACCCCCCTCCTCCCCCTCCCGTCAGTGCTCCGTCCAAAGCCACGCCCCCACAAACTTGAACACGCATCCTGTAGTAAACCGACAGAGAAGCTGTTAGCATTGGGCTAATACGAGCTACAAAAGTAGCTAAGTTGGCTAACGTTACATATTTCATGAAAATAACAAATCCCCCCCCCCCCGAAGCAATACAAATAATTAGCCTATCTGTCTAACAGAAAGACAGCAACCTCTGCATCACTTTTCAGGCCCTTCAGCTCCCTCAGTTGCCGTTCAAAAGCTGCGATGTTGGTTGACTCTGGTTTGTCCTCTCGCTTTATCCAAAGCCTTTTTTGTCGCAGCCTTTTTTGTCGCAGCCTTTTCTGCCTCCGACTTTCTTTTCTTAGCCTGTTTAGCAGGGTGAGCCATTACAAGTAACGCTGGAAGTGGTACTTTTGCCTGCATTTTCTCTGCCATTGTTCAGCAAACGTATTCTCATGCTAACTCTGTATTTCTGCTGAGGAGTGTGCTGAATATTTCCAGCAATGGTGACACGTGATGAGTGCACGCAGAGAGGAGGGAGGGACAGAGAGGGGGCTTGGGCAGGACGAGACATGAAGGCATCTGATTGTTTCTTTCCACTCACACCAAGAGGCAGGGATTGGTCAGAGTTTTTACAGGCCTGCAGCTGCCACAGTGGTCGGATTTTTTTCGTTCCTTTTTCTGAACACATTATGTATTGACTACTCTCAGGATGGAAGAACCATTTCACCCAGTATAACAAAAAGTGTTTCTGAACAGGATTACCAACTATAGCTTTAAAGTGGATGTTTGTGCCAAGTTTGAAGAAATTCCTTCAAGGTGTTCTTGAGGTATTGCATTCATGAGAAAGCAACTGGTAGGGTCACAGTGACCTTGACCGGCAAAATCTAATCAGTTCATCATTGAGTCCAAGTGGAAGTCTGTACCAAAGTTAAAGAAATTCCCTCAAGGAATTTTTCTAAAAATCATGTTTACGAGATGGACGGACAACCTGAAAACATAATCCCTCCTGCCACAGCTATTGCCTGTGTGGAAGCATAAAAATGGTCTGGAAAAGTCTTTTTCTGTCATTTTACAATCTGGAAAAAAATGGATTCACAATAATATGTGGGTGAAGTTTAATTTTTAATAGTTTTCTGCTCTTTATTCGATAATTGTTGCTTTGAGGTGACACTGTATGTTTATGAGGTCTTATCACTCCATTTTTTATATTGTGGATACAGTTGTGTTCAACAGCACGGCCATCATCAATTTTTTTTTTATCTCTACAAATTAATCTAGATACATTTAATAATGTTAGTTGTAATTAAAATCAGGCTTTGACACTGTATAGTTGATTATAACAGTACACCTTTTGAGTCCTGTTCCCCAATGGTGCAATGTTGTCTGAGGGTAGCATTCAGACAAAAAACATCTTTTTATTTCCAATTGCATGCATTGTAAACTGGGGAGGTCACTAAATATTTTCCCAATAGTATGTAATACATTTTTTTTTAAAAAACTGTTAACAATAAGTCTTTTTTTAATTTGTTAACATTATGTTTTTGTGATGCTATAAAATGACAAAGGTGTACCCTCCAAAAATATTTCTTGAATATTTTGTTAAATTATGTTTACTTGGTCAACTTTATGATGAAAAAACATTCCAAGCTTTATTTTTTTTTTTACCAAGTGCATTATCATGCGTACCATAGAGGGTTAAACCATCCTCAGGTTTAGAGGTTAAGAAGTTGGGAGATCATGAGGGTTGCTCAACTTCCCTTTTAGCATATGTTCAACACATTAATTATTTAACACAGCAATACAAATTGCCTCCAGGCCCAAAATTCACTCATCGAAATTTCTTTATTTTTCTTTGCTTTTTTTAAGACTGTGTAAATGAGCTCAGCTGCTGTTCCTCTGCTTTGCATAAAGTGACGCTAAATAAGATCGGATGCCATAATGTTTTGACGCGCGTTGTGGAAAGTAAGAGAGTGCAAAACAAAGTGTTTTCTGAACTTGGAATAATGGTTAGTGAGAAAACGTTTTTGGAACTGCAAGTGTGCAAACATCCAGCAAAAGGAGAGCTGCATGTAAGGAAATATCAGTCACATAGCCAGATGTCATCAACTCAACAAAAACATCAGTGACTGAAAAAATCAGTGGGAGATTACTGATAAAACTTCTAAATGTCCTTTGACTAGATTATTTCTGTAAACAGAAAATATAAAGGCCTACTTAATCACTATTACCAGCTGCTTTAATCATATCTAACTGGACTGGAGCTGCTACAAAGGACTTAAAGTCAGGAAAAACAGAGAAGAGAGACCTACATAAACCAAAAAGGTGACATGTAAAAAAAAAAAATAATAACAGACACTTGCAGTGCTGTACTTTTGTCTTGTGTCTTGGTCCTGAACTGAGAGCTCCAGTAAAATAACTTTGTAATGCGTCTTTGAATATGCATTTCTCTGTCTGCCTCCCTTCATGTTTTGGCCTGGCTATAATCTCTCAGCCCCTACATGTGTCAGACAAAACAGTGCAGCAGATTTTACACCTTCTGAGACATTTAATTTCAGACACAATTTCCTCTGCCGCAGTGGTCAGTCAACAGTGATACATCAGCTGCAGCAGACAATTCTATAAATTTCCATTCCCTCCTCTCATATTTTGCCCCTCTAAACAGGAATGCCCCAAAATACACATAAAAAGAGACCAAACAAGACATTTTCAACGGGGCACAATACCTCTGCACAGTCCTTTGATAAAAGCACAAATGCATTTAGGATGTTTAGCACCTAAAAAGAGCCACAAAGCCTGAGTATATATATCCCCATGGTCTCTGTAGCTGCAGCCCACTCTGACACAAGCACAGTAAAGAAGAACCTCTGACAGACTACATGATGTGCTCTGTACTTATCTCAGCAGAATGATAACACAACAAAGTTATTTATTTTGTTCCTGTTCCTGTGCACATTAATCACTGAAGGCTTTTTGACATATAGATTGGTCTGGGCTTACTTTATTGTAAAGGTATAATGTTTATTGATGCTTGTCATCGTACAGCAACAACGACAAAGGAAATGTTTAAGATTAAAAGCTGTTGTAATGTTGTCTGTCACTGATTTATGGAGGAATCACTCAAGTGGAAATTAAACTCAAAGTTGGGACTTTTTGGAGGGAAGTGATTGATGCTGATGATGAATGGCAGTCATTAGGTTAACACCACCTGCCATTATTAATACATTATTAATACCATTAATGAGCTGTACTGGTTTTACAGGTGCAGTCTGGTATTTGGCTTGTGGCCAGTTTCTGATCAGGATTGGATCAGGACTTCTCAGGCTGCAATCAGTTCAGGGTCAAACTCAATCATTCTACTGCTCAAGTTGGGCTCACACAAAGCAGAAACCTCCCAGGCTAAAATATGAAGCCAATGAGGAGCCAAAAACTGTAGCTCCTCTAATGGCCACTAGAGGTTAGCTCCAAGAGCGAGTCTTTCGGGGGCCCTTTCGGGGGCGACCTTTCGGGGGCCCTCAAAGTGTCTATAAATTACTGCTTGACAATCTCAGATTTAATTTAATTTTTTTTTTGGTCAAAAATCAAAAGGTGTCTCAAAATACACATTGACATGAATCCAATATATTATTGGTGAAGATAAATGGGTCTGCTCATAAAAATCATTTAATTTACATAATAACAAGATAGTTAGCTAACAGTTACGTACTAAACATGCTGGCAAATTAGCTAGATTATTATTTCAAGTGTACAGACATTCTTGTGAGTCACAGTAAATTGTTTTGTAACTTCACAAGTAAGAGACTCTGACACACCATCCACCTCAGAAACCACTGGTGAAAATGCAGAGTGAGGGTAAAACACCCAGCCATGCTACAACTGCTACTGACTTAGCAGCTCCCGGCAAGCGCTAACGAGAGAAGACCCGAAAATATTCAGGGAACTATCTCAAGTTCAACTCAGTTTAATACAATATATAAAGTAGGTGGTCCCTGCCCCTTTTCTCATTCAGTTAAGGGGTGCTTGGCCTTGAAGACCCGACCCCCAACAAGCTGCCTGATATAAAGCTAGTGTAAACGAGACAACACAGGGAGGAGGACAGAGGGTGAGAGGCTGGGAGGGAGGGGTGGAGGGGTGGAAGGAAAAGGAGAGATGCTTACGTGTTTCTCTCCTTCAATCCTCTTGTCAGCCTGTTGAACAGCCTCCAGGTACTTAAAATGCATCTCCATCAGTCGATCAACCTGGAGAGAGAACGAAACAGACAGCGAGAAAGTGAGAGACTGCAGCAACAAAAAAAGAGAAATATGAGGGGAAAACAAGAGAGCACAAACAAGAGGCAGAACAAGATGAGACTTGATTCTTCTTAACTGTTTGCTGCCAAACACTTGATTGTTATGTGGATGGTTTATTGAATGGAAAACAAAGACAAGCAAAAATACATTTTTAAGATTCTAATTGGTTGTATTACCACATAGTCTAAGACATTAAACATAAGTTAACAAATAACCGAGACAGTGGATGCTGAAAAATGAGACTCTGGGATGTCTCAGTGCTGAAGAAGACAGCCACGTTTGATTTGCACGACAGACAGTTCTCTACATCAAAAGTCATGCATCCTATTAAAATGGCCTTGAGCAACACATTGAATGAGACATTTTTGCATATGTGAGGGGAATTGTGGGAGTAACGCAAAAAAATGCAGCTGAGGTGTCAGGTTTGATATTTTAATCACTCTCTAAAGTTCTGTAACATGTGACAGACAGGTACACACAGGTACAGAGTAGTGACTGACTGAGTGACCTGAATGTGAACCTGAATGTACTTAACCTGCCTTGCAAATGTCTGCCTCTTCCCTCTGGTAAAAATATGATGAGAATGATACATACTCAGATATAGTCACTTTATGATCACACATTTCATCTGGTGATTTGTCGCAGCCAAATGTCTTCTGTTTCACTCTTGACGTTTTAAAGGCCTGCTTATGCAACGTGTGGCCTTGATAAACACGTGAATGAAGAGAGTGACGTCTGTCCAAAGGGCAACGAGTGCTGATTAGCACTGAAGGCAACAGCATTGAATATTCTCACATTTTGATTTTCTTTACAATCTATTTGATCATTACAGTCAAAGCATCAACATTTGTGTATCAAAAACACAGAGGAAAATAATAAGACAATGTCATGCTGATGATTAGGCCCTGAACAAATAAATAATTAGTATTTAAAGCAATTTATCAATGCTTTACTGTTTACACATTTAAGCTACCAGGCATTAAAAATCAACATCAAATGGAGGTTTTATTTCCAAGTTAACAACAGATAATGAGAGCTATAAAAGTATTAATGGGCAGTCCAAGAAAATAGTAATTTATTAAAGGATAACACAAAAGAAAAAAAACAATGTTTTTGCAAACAGTTACATTTCAATCTAAAGATTCATGCATGAAAAACATGTACAGCTGCAGTTAAGTATGATTTTCATTATAGATTATTCTGCCGGTTATTCTCCATATTAATTGTTTAATTTAGGGCAGCCTGTGAAACATCAAAAAGCAGTTAAAAAAATGCTCACCAGGGATCATCCCAGAGCCAAAGTGATATCCTTAAACTGATAATGTCTGTATATCTGTCCAAAACCTAAAATATATTTTGCTTATCGTAACATGTGATAAAAACAAGCAGCGTATGCTCACATTTGAGAGGCTGGAAACTGCAAATATTTTGAGCTTTTGCTTGAAAATGACTAAAACCATTAATTATCAAAATAGTAAGTTTTGGTTCATTAATTGATTAATCAACTAATGGTGGGTGGCAGCCCTAAAAAAGAATGAACAATTAAAACTAAAGTAAAACAATAGTAAAATAACCTTGTGTTGCAAGTGCAGTATGATGAAAACCAACTTTTATTCAAAAACATGAAATTTTAATGACTGGATGAGCAACAATAAAAGTTAAAGTTCAGAGAGAGATTTGTAAAGATACCATTTATCAAACGTTTAACACTGAAAAATTCAGATAATTTGAGTCATCGGGACTGTGTGGGTGTGGACTGATCGGGGCTGATTTTCAGTGGCCTGGCAACATAAGCAAACAAACCCACAACAGCCAGCACATTTTGATTTAAATGCTGCTGATTGCTGCTTTGGTCTTCATCCAAACTCGCGTTCGGATGTTTTTATCATCCTGTCCATGGTGTGTCAGTATTTTTGTTCCGGTGCTCAACCACCCACCCTCATCCCCAGCCTTCTAAATCTGCTGCTGATGGCACAGAGGAGCCCAAGGACCGCTGGTAAACAATAACCTAATTTTGTGCTCAGAAAATGTACCCAAAATCAAAAACATGTAGGGTATTACTGCAGACATTCCTGTAATCTTACATTACAATGTTTACTGTAACAGCAGATGCTGCGTTCTCTCATGTTGTTGTTTTTTTTTTTTGTTTAATTTTCAGGTGCATTTTCAACATTCAACATACATGAATACAACCATATTTATAACCAACCAAATAACATCAAACACTAATTTAACACTACAGTTTGTCAAAAAAAACCACAAATTTTATCGGATACCCACTGAAACAACCATCTGTGGGTCCTGGGGACTCACTACATTGAAAACCTAATGAAATCCCTGCAGTATGACACACAAACAATTCAGCTTACGCATCCTGATGAAGCAATCTGCTGGCAATCAAAAACAGCAGATACAAAAAAAGAAAGTGAGGGAAGAAGGAGGATAAAAAAGGAAAACAGGCAGAGGATGATGAAAACTAACCTTCTCACAGTCATTCTCTGTGAACTTGTTGAGGAGTCTGCTTCTCTGTTGGGACTTGAGATTTCTCAGCATGGAGGCGATGATGGAGCAGACGTGTTCTGAGGAGAGAAAAATGAGAAGTAAAGCTAAAGGTTTTGTTTAAATCACAGGGACCATATCTCAAACATTTTTCTAGAGAGAGGAGAACCCCCTCCCCTTCCAGTGTCCCTCATGGGACCTTATTTCAGAAAAAATATGTACAGTACTCACAAGCGATAGATAAACATTTTTTCATCTTGTTTGAATTTAAGTTTCCCCTTGGGTATTTTTGAGCTAAAGTGCGTAATTGTTTTGTTTGTTGCGCCACTGGAAGATATTTAGCGCATCCACTGACACGGAAAGGATGTTAGTCACATATTTGTACACAGTTGCAGATGTCAAATTCCTTTTAATGAAATGCTTTCCATATCAAATATGTGATTATTATCACTCCTGCAAGTGGCCGCAGATGTAACATTTGACATCTAGTGTTTTAATCAATAGTGTTACTCTGACATTGCTTGATGACTGTTAATGAGTACAATAATTTGTATCTAAATAGTTGAAGAGGTTTTGAGTTATGACATCAAAACAAAAATTGTTACCATTGCCCCCTGTCTCCCGTAATCAACCCTGCATTTCAAGTCACAGAGACGAAATAAATCAAATCCTGGAGAAACGCAGAAGAGAAAGAGCTGGTATACATAAAGATGCCATGTCTGTCGTGGGAACAGGACAAAGCAAAGCTAAAGTAAACACAGTCAGAAAACAGCAGAGTGTGTTGCAGCCTCTACAGAATTGTTCAATGTGGTTTGTGGCTAGCTACGAGATGATGTGTCTGTACTCGGGACAGGCAGGTGAGCTGGAAGTCAGGTTAGCAGTAAACTTGAATGTAACATTGAATGTTCAGTGTGAGCTACAGTTTGACAGAACTGCCATACCAGAGAAGCTATTTAGCAGCACATAGAGAAACTGTCTTGCATGTTTTGTGTCCTCTGATCGGCCCTTCCACTTCACCTTCAAACTATTTAGAACAAAAATCAGCCAATTAGGATCTGTGGCTACGTTTCACAGCACCCTTAGCTGATGTTTCTCAATTTGCAATCTTTGCTCATCCCCAGCTTTTCCAGTTTAAAGTAGAGATAGAGAGTTTATTGAGTATAGGGATGATTTTATATAGCAGCAGTGCTAATCATTTAGTAGCACTACTGCTAAATGCAAATACACTGGATTGTGCCATAAACTACACATATGATGTTTGTCAATTAAAAAAGATCATTTTGCAAGCAAAGAAAGTCACAGTTTGTCGTAGGTTGTCATAGTACCATTTAGTTTTGTGTGAAACCGCTCACTGAACTCCATCCCTCGCCTTGCAAAATGCATGTCATCAGCATAAGTGACCGAGCTAGCTTGCTTTTATCCAGTGATTCCTGGTCTTTTTGTCAGTGGGGTAGGGAAAGAACAAGCAAGGCTTGTTGCTTGTGTGAGTATACTACGGTGCAAAACTCGCAGTCATCGTAGCTTCAGCCAGAGAGAAAGTGATGATGTCACCTTGTATAATCTTTTAACACATATTTTTACAGTCTTACACTTTAACAGTTACGATAAATTGGGATTTGGTTTGAATAATTACCTTTAAAATTGACAAACATCATAAATTGTGTGTAATTCATCACACAATTCATTTAAAAAATGATTTCTCTCTCACCATTAACTACAGTAATATTTTTTCTAAAATAATGTCCCATGGCCATCCACCATAAAGGGAGGGTCTTCACACACATGCATTCCTTTCTTGATGGAATCACTGTATGCCTCTCTCCACTAACACATACAGTATGTAAGCCTCCCACATGATAACACATCATTAAAGAACGTACTGTGTTCTTCACTAAACCCTAAAGGTGGTACATGTGCTATAACTTACACGTGAGCTACTCTTATGCTCCTCAGTTAAAACAGCAAACTCAAAAAAACTGATCCCTGCACGGCTCATTCACACCCACACCCACAGCCCCGAGAAAGACCAAATCGATTAGCATGTGATAATTTGCAATTACAGCACGCAGCCAGCTAAGCATGGATACAGAGAGTGCACAGAACAAGAGGAGGAGAAAATGTTAATGAAATTTAGAAATCAATTTTCATTTTAGGGCATGCTGGAACATGCATAACCGTTTTGGCTGTGGCTGAATTACATTTCTTACAGTGATAGAAATTTGTCTGAAGCAGCTCTGGGGCCATTTAGCGAGGGGGGATGTCTAAAAACATGTTAATTGACTAAATTAGCAACAAAAACTAGTTAGTCCCATTGAGTGCCCTTATTAACCTAATTCATGCTATGTAAAATGTGTTATCTCATTCAAAGACCTTCTTACTCACAGGTGGCACCAGTAGATGACAATCATAGTGTAATATTTCTCTATTATATTGAATGAACAATACACTGTGCACACAGGGGGAGCAGAATATGACATTGTAAAATCTCTGGATATACAGAGATGGGGGAAAAAATGTAATTGGACTTTATCAACAAGAGGTCAATATCCTCTCTCATCGAGGCTTTGCAGTTGCTAAGCAACAAGAGTACAGGAATCAATCCCATTTCTGCTTTTTAAAAGGGGTCGTGTTTGCTGTCAGCTCCCTTTGTGCAGTCCCCTACGACCCGCAATGCCCGTTCTCACAAGCCTTGAGTAGGCTCAGAAAACTGAAGGCTATAACACCTGCTAACGTCAAATCCATCAGAATATACAGATATGCGTCTGCATTAGAAATATAACTGGCAGCACAAAAAGGCAGGAAAATGCATGAAACAATACAAAACAAAATGGAGTTGTGTTCCTTTAGAAAGAAGATCCATTAGAAAGTATCTCCAAAATCTGAAGTGAATTGAATAACTGCCAATTACTGCTCAATCTGTGATCCTGATTCCTTTGAATGAAAAGCAAATTTTTGATCTGAACTCCTCAAACTCCTCTGTTCTCCTTCTTACTATTACACTGAAACCCTCAACATATCCCTCAAATATCGTAACAACGTTAATGTGGATTGCCATGAAATTTCATGGTCCCCAGAGGATGCTGCAGACTGACTTTGATTATCTTCTGACTTTTCTTTTAACACTACGAGCTGGTTGATATTTTGTGTTAGAGATATTTACGTTCTGCTAAGGATGAATTGGTGATCTCGCAGCTTTTCACGTAGCGCCATCAGGTCAAAAATTCTTACTTTAGTTTATGATTACACACCATCACCATCGGCTGCACTTTGTGTTAAGTGTTAATAAGCAAATGTTAGCATTTCCAACATGCTAAAGTAAGGTCAGCATTGTCACTGTGACCATAATAGCATGCTGATGTTAGCATTTAGCTCTGAGCTTCTTCGTGCAGGAACAGTTTAACAGAATAGATAGCATGGCTGTAGACTCTTAGGCTCCAAACTATTTAAAGTACAATGTGTAGGATTTAGTGGCATCTAGCTGTGATGTAGCAGAGCTAAATCTTCTTGCATATGCCAAGCGTGTAGTAAACTACCCTCCATCTTGCCAGTTCTTTGATCTCCCTACTCGTCTCCCATCTCAAAAAAGAAACGCGCAAAACTCAAAATGCGTCATCCTGACGAGAGAGAGAGCTGCCCCTTTTTGTCTCTCTTGCTTAAGGCCCTGACACACCGAGCCAACGGTCAGCTGTCGGTCGAAGTTTGGCCTTTGGTGAGCGTCTGCCACCCTCGATGGTGTGGTGTGTCCCACACCATTGGCCCTCAAGAAGGTGAAAAACAGACTTGTTACATAAGGTAAAATGATTTTTCTTTTGCCAATAAGCTCTTGGGTTTGGTTGGGTTTGGTTGAAGGTGGCAGTACTGTTTGGGCTGAGAAAGCCATGTGTAAGTAAGGTAAAAGAGGTTATTGGGTTGGTGTGGGGAGCAGTGAGACCTGGCATTAGGGGAGTGTCTCTGGGACGCCAGGGATCACTGTCTAGCCTCCTGGAGGTGTCGTGGGACCAACTAGACGAAACACTGGTGAAAGGAGGTTCCCACCCGATGACCCCAAAACATGTTAGTTATCACTGCTCACTGGTCTGTATAGTTAAGCCTTGCCATAATAGCTTATCATAGGGCTTAGGAGGTTATTCACTGAGTGCTGATCCTTTTCTAGAGCACAAACTTCTTGTGTTTATTTGAATTGGGCAGAAACATTTCCTGATGGTTTGTGATTATGTTCACTGGCGCACAGTAAATAAGCTCTATTCTTTTTAACATTGGATTGTGTTGTTAATGTGCTAACTGGCTAACTAGCATCAAGACAGTCGTCTAGTTTCCTTTTTTGAATGAGGATTACAGACTGATACCGTCTGCTGGGGTGGAGGGTTATTTCCTCTCACGCAGGCGCAGAACGTACGTACTGGCTGACCCTTGGATGTAGTCATCGCAGCGTGTTCATGTGCAACTTTTTTGACCAATGCACTGCAACATCAGGTGATGCAGCAGGGGGGCTTATGTCACCCACCAGTGGGAGCATTTATTGGTTCGGTATAGTGCAGTGCATTCTGGTAGTTGTTGGTTTTCTACCTTTGAGTAAAAGTGAATGTCATAGCCCTTTTACTCAGTTTTCTCTGTTATACAGCACCAATTTCAAAAATGTTCACGTCTCTCTACAGCATAGACAGCCTAGCTTTACGAAAAGACCATCTTTCCGTAGTAAAATAAAATAATCTACAGCTATAATACAAACAACATCTTTACATCTGTCTTTACATGTGTTACATTAACGCACATGTTTTCAACTATTCTTCATATACATTGCACAAAGCTGCACAAAACTACTACTAAAACTGTTCAGCTCTTTCATTTAAAAACAAATCAATTGTAGCCTATATATTTTTATAGCATTTTTCATATTTTTAATTGTAATTTCTCTATTCTATATTTATGACTCTTGACTTTTATTTGATTTGGATTAAGTTAATTCCTGGGTCTTCAGGGGTATATTAAGTGTAAATGCACTTCACAGTTTTACTGGCTGCCTAAGTGGTTGACTGGTATGACTGGTACAGTATTACATGTAGTTAAAACTGTGTGCACT